CCGGCCGTCCAACCAGTTTTTTACTGTTTTTTTAGCAAAGAAGGGAAAGACATAAACCTACAACAGCCAATACCCAGCAGCAGATGGAGCTTACGTGAATATTCTTATGCCATTTTTGGCAGCAGATAGTGTAGTGTTTACACTAAAGGAAATGTTGGATGCATCAGAATCTATTTTCTTTCTATTATGGCTGGCAAAACAAACCACCTCTTACAAAGTTCTGAACACTGACTTCTGAAGAGGAAGGATAAAGTTAACAGAAAATTTCGGAAGGAACTGGGCCTATAAGTAATCCATGATCAATTTTTCTCATCAAGGTAATGGTAAAAAAGGCTCTTGCTTACCTTCCCAATCCTCCATGTAAGGAGCTTCTTCAGCTTCCTTCTCGGGAGAGATGCCATCTATGAATTTTCCTTCTTTCATAACTCTAGTAATTTCTCGGAGTTGCTGAAGTAACCTTTTCTCCTGGTCTGTTGTAGCATTTTGAGTTCTGCTATAAAATATTACACACCAGAGTTCAGTCCACTATTATTACAAACCGTTAACAGAGTTTGAATACAGCTGTTTGCTCCATCCCAGCAGCACAGTCCAAAGAAATCTGGCTGCAGTATGATCACTGTCCAACAGCTGCCTGTGGTCCGCACTTGAGCTCAGTATAAAGGTTTATCCATTTATCCAGAAAGCCTGCAAACTTAAACAGGCAAAGAGAGGAAGGTACAGCCAATGTGAGAGCAAGATGAAAGTGATACACAAGCAAGAGTTACAAAAGACACTACAGAAACCTCTGGCCTTTAAAAGAGTGTTAGGTGAGAGGGCAATGCCTTGTTTGAAGCACTGTAAGAAAATGTAATTCAGAACCTACACTGCATTTACAACAACTTGTGGGGCTGATCAAGATGTCTCACACAGACATTAGTCTCAAGAATCTAATGATCCCTAATTATGACCATTAAAGGTATTACATTTGGAAGGCCTTATTAAGAAATGTCAGTTGGACAGATCATCATGTTATTACACACAGTCATCAATGCTGCCCGGCAGGGGGTGGAGGAAAAGCAGGAAGAAAGATTTAAAAATTAAAAGAAAGTATAACATTTAACGTCAACTTGGCTTTAGAATCTGAGGGAGACTGGAAGAGGACTGAGATTTTTATCAGGTTAAAAGTAAACCCTAATTTTGACTGGTTCTACACTACTGATTCTAATTACTACTGCTGAGGTAATTCAAAATTACAAAAAAGCAAAAAAGCTTCCAACAGATAAGATCATGTAGTCGTTACATGTTACTGTCTCTGGAAAAAGAATTGTCTCCTAAAAAATCTTATGGACAAAAAAGAAGTATGTGGAGGGTGGGGATCCTAATATGCTAGATATTCTCATCAGAAAGCACTACTGGTTTACTGCAACACTAGAACTCGGTATTTCAGAGTACTCCTCCTCCAGATACCTTGCTGAAAAGACAAATTTCCCTTAAGAGAGAGAAACCAAAGCTCATGCACTACTTCTACTCATTTAAGGCCTCAAGGAAGACCTAACGTAGGATGCTGGCAGTGTATAAGGCAGCTTGCCAGGAGACTTACCAGGGCGTAGTGCACTTCTGAATACTGGGAGGGCAACAGATGCAAAAGGTTTACAGTGTAAGGAAAGGTCATTATGTTTGCTCTGTGCGTTTGCAGCTCCAGCACAGCTATTACATTTCGGAGTGGCAATGCTTACGTTTTGCAGGGTCCCAAAGTGCTCACTAACAGGTGAAGGTTTCTTAGTCTTACACTGAGATCAGAACATTTCCTAAAGAGTTGTCATGACAGCAGTGAAAATCCGTAACCTAACATGGTATCTCAGACATGTCAACCAGTATTTTTTTTTCTTTATGATCACTACTGAGATGCAGCGATAGCCCAAAAATGGCACTCTGGTAGAGCTTACCCCCCATGCCCCACCCCTCCAATCACACTGCTCAGTTTATGGTAAAAAGGCAAGTTTTTCCAATTGACAGCCTGGTAAATAAGACTTTAAAAACAGGTAATCGAGCTGCATTATTTCCACCTCTTACCTAACTACTAGAAATCGAGATATTTTTTAAAAGAGACTGTTGTACAATGCTCCCATTGAGACAAATATTTACAACTATTCTTCAATTTCAAGTAGTTTCAAAATACCAAATCTTACAGTGTAGCCAAGAGAAAAGGGGTAAGACATCGGTGAGAATGGGTAGGGAAATATTTTGTACCCATTATATCACTGTCCCAACACTGAAACACTGCTACAAGCCTGGGAAAAAAAGCAATATGCATGCTTTAAATGCAGAGAGAGCCCTATAAAGCCATCAATCAAGTCTTTATTTCTGCATCATCAAATTCCCAGCAAGGCTCCTCATCTCTGCTATGAGATACTGGACTAGAAATGCCTACATTTAGAAACTGGAGATACGGTGGTCTCCTTAGTGATAGGATAAATTACAAAACTGCATAATTTAAATTTATAATCTGTTGAGAAAAAGAGGTGGGAAGAGAGCTAGATTTTCTCAGAGCTGTGAATCACTGTATCCTCGGGTACTATGAACTACCCATTTAAGTGTGTGTATTAGGTAACAATTACCTTCATCTGTCTCTCAGTTTAGGTTTGGTTGCGTTGCTGAGGACCCAGCCAGGCAGTTCTTTCTTCCTCTTGCTCTCTTTACCTTGGTAACACATGCTGGGCCTCATTAAAAGTACAGCTACTTGCACTTACTGAAAGTTTTGCATTTCTGCTAGGGAATTTCTGTACTTAAGGCTGGAGCAATTCCGACTGGTATGCTGGTTTGGAAGGAGGTCTCTGTGGTTTGTGTGGTGGGTTTTTGGTAGTAGGGAAGGGGCCACAGAGGTGGCTCCTGTTAGAAGCTGCTAGAAGCTTCCCCAGCTCCAAGTCAGACCCACCCCTGGCCAAGGCCAAGCCAATTTGCACCTCTGTGATTAACACAGTTAAGAGGGGAAAACAAAGGGAACCTGCAGTAGAGAGGAATGGGATGTGAAAGAAACAACGATGCAGATATCCAGGTGAGTGTGGAAAGGAGGAAGTGCCTAGAGCAGAGGTTCCCCTGCAGCCGTTGGGGAGAGGGCAGGCTGTGCCCTACAGCCATGGAGGGTCATGGGGGGCAGAGACCCCCCTGCAGCGCAGGGAGGACCCCACACCAGAGCAGGCGGCTGTGCCTGAAGGAGGCTGTGAGCCCATGGGAAGCCTGCACTGGAGCAGGCTTCACGAAGAACTGCAGCCCCTGGGAAGGATGCAGAGTGTGAGGAGTCCTCTCCCTGCAGAGGAAAGAGATAATGTGTGATGCACTGACCATAACCCCCATCCCCCTGTGCTGCTGCCAGGGCAGGCTGTAGGGAGATGGGGAGCTAAGATGAGCCTGGGAAGAAAGGAGGGATGAGGGCATGGATTTTAAGACCTGGAGGTTTATCTCTCATTGTCCTAATCTGATTTGATTGGTAACTAATAGAACTGATGTCTTCCCCAAGCTGAGTCTGTTTTCCCTGTGACCATAACTGGTCCCTCCCTGTCCTTGTCTTGACCCATGAGCTTTTCCTTGTATTTTCTCCTTCCCATCCCACTGGGAGAGGAGTGAGCAAGCAGCTGTGTGGTTGGGCCTGAACCATGATAGCTGGTTTGGAGGTTGGTTTTCAAGCCTCGTTAAAAAAAGCAAGTCCAAGTTCCTGCCTGCCTACCTTCTACAGCACAGGGCTAGATAATACTATCTATCCCATCTGTGAGGCCTTACAGTCTCACTTCAATCAAATGCTTTGGAAAGAAAAAGAAATGAGCAAGAAAACAACATCCACACTTGCTACAGAAGAAAGCAGAATAAAAATCACACAGCGCAGTATAATATTACTCCTTTGAAACAGACTGTCTTTCTCTGGTACAGCATTATCTCAGAATAAACTGTCCTTCCAAACTCGTACAGATTTCAGAGGCAAAGATATTTTTAAGAAAATGTACAGAATGTCTTTGGATTCTAAGAATCTTCACCAGAAGAAGCAAGCTGGGATGAATCCTGGAGCATTTCAGCTGGAAGAATGTTCCTGAAGCAGAGTGAGAGGATACAGAGGTACAAGCTCACACCTCAGCACAGTTACAAACACTGTGTTATGGTGATAAATCAGGGCTTGTGACATTGCAAGGTACATCCTCTGGTTTTGTTGCTAATACTTCACCTGGCAGGCGGGAGTCTCTTTGCTGTAGCCAGTACACTGGGCCGTGCACTCACTTGGGGTCTTTCAGCATTAGTTTAAACTTGATACTAGTTCTTTCTTTCTCTGACTTTTCTGTTGTAAGGATTTCTGTTTAACTGCATATTAACTGATGGAGCTCAAGTAATTTTTGCTGTCTTTCTATTTCCTTTTTATTTAAATCTATCAACATCCGGACTGATTAAGTGTAGCACTGTACTCTGTGCTCTAATTACCCTTTCTAACCATGTTTGATTTTAAGACACTTAGTCAGTAATACTGAACTTAATGAGTATCACAGTGTAGATTAAGAAAACATCAAAGTCTGTGTGTATTTGAAAAACACCTACTTGCTCCATCTAGAGGTGCTTTTCCTGCTCTCTGTAACGAGCCTACATACAAACCTCTGTATTAATTCTGATTTCCCCTGAGGCCTTTAGATCCATCTATATAAATAGTTTGGTTGAACAAAGAAGGGAAATTCTACTGAATAAAGGCTCTGAGCCAATAACACAGAGTGGAACAAATATTGGATCAGACCCCAAACCCATTTTCTCAGTAAAAAATATCCTATCCTGAGAGTCAGCATAATAACTGGGCAGCTCATAAGCCTATTTCTGGCAGCTGAGAGGCACACATAAGGGATTGCATTAGCTCTCCAAAACAGAGGTGAGTAATAGTCAGAATAGTATTGTACTGTTTCAGTAACAAAACCAGGGCAGCTGAGGGGTTGTCCTGCTGGAACCTGGCCTAACACAGGCAAGCCTGGCACCTCGCCTTGCTGAGGCAAGTGCAGCCGCAGAGGGCACTATGCAAAGTGGGCAAAACTAGGTGCTCAGAGAACGCGGTTTGAAGTGTAAACGCATGTAACTTGCAAGTTCGACACAGGATTCTTCCTACAAGTTAGAATGGGCTAAAACAAGCATTGACTGATCTACACAAACTTAACAAGCATTAGACCCTGAACAGCTATCTTTTTTGCTTGCAAACATCACCTTAATATTCATGGTACTTAAATTGTCAAACACTGCAGTTACAATTGTCTTTTTGATGTGTTACTACGCTCATTTTGAAAACATGGCCATGTTTCCAGTGTTCCTTTATAATGCAGAATAGGGATCTCAGATTTATAGCAAACATTAATAAACATAATAAATTTTTAGATCCTGATTTTACAATTCTTTTTTTTTTTCTTTTATATTTAGAAGCAAAGGTATGGTTATAGGGTGGAACTAATTTATGGAATAAGATTATTATACAATTCTGACCTTAAAGAAATATTTTATGGATATTCTAACATGCGTTTACATAGATTATATCAGTATTTCTATTTAGAAAAATAATCCATAGCACTGGAAAATAACATAAAACAAATGGGCTTCTTAGCAATCATACACAAAATTACTTTGGTCACATAAGACAGGTTGTTTATATCTGTTAAATGTAGCTGTTTTAGTTTCTGTTTATACAAACATGTCAGTATCTTCCAACTAATGCACTATACAAGTAGAGGAGGATAGGGATAGTAGCTTTTCTGTTCAAGGAAAACGAAGTTGGAAAAATGATTTTAAATACAGATGGCAAAAAAAAATGCAGAACAAAAAGTGTTATGTGTAAAATCGTATTCCTACAATCTGAAGTAGTAATAAAGGTGCTATTTTAATATAGCCAATGTAAGAAAGTTTAATTTGCAGTCAGAGCAGAATCCCTCCTTGAAGTGTTGTAATTTGAAACATACCTGTCACAGTTAGGTCCTACTCTGTTGATTAATTTTTCCATAGCTTCTTCTGTCTCTCTCAGTTTTTCCTGGAGTTGGGTGAGCTCATAGTCAGCTGTAAAACAAACAAGATCACAAGATCTGTGAGCAGGAGCTTTGAAACTGTATCCCTGTCACATTATCACAGGTAGCATATGCTGTACCAAAGCAAACTGGCTGTGAGGAAACTAAAACATGCAGAGTTCTACCTACTTTTCCTAGTATAAGAAGATGAAGACTATTGCCAATGGTAACAGGACACACAGAAAGCATTTTGTTTCAAAGCTTCCTGAGTAACCTCCCCATAAGCAGACCACTGTAAATATGCTGAAGATTAAATTTAGGGAAAATACCTTCCCCTCGCTCCCCCCACCTCACTCCCCCGAAAGGAAACCATAGTTTGTCTGTCTGCTGCACAATTAGTAGTTCTCATGGAATTTCCCCATTAACTTCTTGGGAACAGAGACAAAATGTCACTTGAGCATTTTCTTATGAGTCTAAGGTTTGGGAAACCACCTCTTTATCAAAGAGAATAAAATCAAGTTCTTGGGCTTGATGGCATACAACCCTGCACAGGCGCGTCAGGGGAGGCAGCGAGGGCCAGCAGTCTGCAGGCTTACCCGGTTGAACAACAGCTAGCCACATGGTGTCTGTCTGGGGACCAAAGCGTGGCCTTTCCATGGCTGCACTGTTTTCAAAAAAATGTGTCCATAGCACTGTAGTTGACACACACACATAAATGCAGGAACACTCATACTGGCTTTAATTTAGCCGAAAGTATTAACAGTAAAGATGCAACAGCATGGCTGTCAACAAAAATGCTTGTGCTCCTTTGGTGTCCGTAGCTCACACTCAAAATCCTATAGCTGAGACTCCATTGTTCCCAGCTCCAGAACCAAATGAAACCAGCCTGGATTAGTTCAGTATTCAGCTGCTACAGACACGCCCGTTTAAGCAGCACAAAGGCAGAATGGAACTCTGACATATAAGGAATGGGGAAGGCGATCCACAAACATCCTGCTTTTGGGCAGATCTCTATTCTGCAGAGAATGCCATTACTTAATGTATCACCGATGTCATTATTTTGCATGTCTAAGACTTTTTAAAAATAGGGAAATGGAAATTGGCAAAGAGAAAGGAAGTTACTCCCTACAAGGTACTATGTAAGTGGTTCCTAGTCCAGGGACTTGTCCCCTGCTCTGCTACAGCTTGCAACAAACACCTTAGGAATACGAATGAAGAGCTCTGGAAAAAGGCAGAATAATTTTCATCACTAGCTCCTTGGGTTATAATGACGGTAAATATTTAACTTACTGCAAAGTTAGTTTCTCTTACCAAGCATTAGGAAAAAAATACAATTACCATTGCTAATAAATTGCACCAAATTGCCAGGCACAGCACAGTACAAGTGCACTGAAAATACCATCTATAGCGCTGAGTACATTAGGTATTCTTCATATACACATTAATGTCAAGATAATTACAGCTATGTTAAGAGAATTACCTTACTGCTAGCACTTCCTATAAAGCCCTAAGTACTTTTCTTTCCTATTACAATTTAGGCAGCTAAACACAACACATTTAAATACTGCTGTGGTAACTACTCATCCAATCTTCAATAGTAAGCTTATTAATTTAATAAATGTCTATAAACAGTTGAATCTATCCCACCAATGTTTTATTAAACTGCAGTAACATTTCAGAATACTGTTTGCTTTCTGATCAAAACTTTGAGCATTGCAAAAAGGGAAGGGGAAAAAGGAGGGAAGTGCCTGGTGTTGGCTAGAATTCACAACATCAAAAAAATGAAGGTAGCTTTTAATACATTTATATACTATGGCTAGAATATTAATGGGTTATAGATGGACATCTTATTATCCATTTTTAATCATTAGCTCCATAGCTTTTCAGCAAATCCATAGTTAATTCAGTGAACCTCATGAAAAGCCATTGCTTCCAGGGGGGCTTGGGGTCAGGTTACTATTGAAGAGTCTCATTAGCCAAATGAGATCAGAAAGAGATGGTGCAGTCATTCACTGTAACCCTCATCCCAACACAGAAACTTCTGGCTTGTTCTTTAATGTGTGTGTGTGGGAAACAGCAGCTTTACAGTGTGCCCAGAACTTGAAGAACCCAGTTGCACTGTCCCTCCACAGAGTCAACAGCTACACAGCCACAGCTCAGAAGTCATACTCACTGATTTTCCTCTTCATGTTTCCAGGTGCAGCAGTCGGGAATTTCCGCTCTCCAGCAACAGTTTTTCCCTTGGAAGCCAGCTGATGAGCGAAAAAAGATGAGTTATGAGTTAAATATATGAGTTACATATATAACTTCTATGAGTTACAGCAATAGTAACATATAAGCCCCAAAGGCAACAGAAAAATGTATAGAAAATTAAAATATGCCAGAAAGTAACCACAGAAAAACATGTCCAGCAACAAAAACAACCATGAAAGAGTCTGGGAGATCTTGCCAGCTGAAAACTCCTAAAAGACACTTGGAACAAATAATATGTTTAAGCACAGTGAAACAGTAACTCATTAAAAAATAAGCTTTTTATTTTGTTATATTTACCTGTTCCAGCCTGATCCTGTAATTCTTCTGTGTACAGGAGGAAAAAAAAAAGTGCATTGGGGAATGATTATGAAATAAAGGACAGGTTCTGACGGAATGATGTGTGACACCAGTTGTCCCTCTTACAATGTGTTCTGCCATTATTCCTTACCAACTTTGTACCTGCAGCAAAGACACTGGCTGGCTCTATACAGAAGCTGCAGTCTATTTCTTTTGCCTTCTCTTGTGTTTGATCAGTTCACCCAATTCACCTCATTCTTTCTTCCATCTGTCCAGAACAGGCTCAACTGTTTGGATGCTGCTCAGACTGGATTCAAAACCCACTCAAAGAAAAAAACATTTCTACAAGCCCACTTCTCCCTCCTCCCACAGAGCTGATTGTCATCACCTACATGCAAGTCATGTCTATGTAACAAGCAGCTATGAGAAGTTCAAATCAAGTGTGAAACACTTGAGGAGAATTTGGGTTGTTCTTTTTTAAACTAGCTTTCAACCAGTTCCTCAGCTGGGGCAGTTCCAGCATGGTCAATGCAACCTGACAAACTCCCGTGCTTTTGTTCCAGAAAGCGTGCAATAACTGCACTTCCACTCTCCCACTTTAAATGCGTAACACATTACCTGACGTACCCAGTAGATATATGTGGTCACACATAGTAAAAAGGAATACTATGTGTCTATTCAAAATTAATCTAGCATTGGTCTAGACATACATATTTTCCAGGGGAGGGAGAGGGGGAGAATCCTTAAGAGGTCAGAGGCCAATATAGGACCACAGCAAGCCCTCTCTGCATTCTTAGCTACAGTTTTGCAGTAGCAAAAACCACAGGGTGCACCAAACCACCAGTCAAAGCTGAAATGGAAACAGGTACAGAAATGGGACTATCATTTCTGTCTTGAGTTTTTTTTAGTTGTATTTCCCTGACTTTTCAATTTATGTTGGTCTTACCTTAAATAAAATGTACAGGATATATAAGAAAATGCCAAATCCATATATAGGGATAATCTGTCCCACAAGACCTCTCCCAGTTGCACCAGTGCTTCCACCACCACCTCCACCTGCCTTGGCTTTGGCAACTGCTTCAGCAAGGTGAGACCTTGGAAAATGTGGCGCAGCTCGACTGTCCGGAGTGGCCTGGTAATGCATCCTTGGTGGAAAGCGACCAAGCTTCCCTGCAAAAAAACACACAATGATTATTTTTCTTCTATTACTTTTCACCCTTTGACAGGCAGCCTAAAACCACAGCAGGTGCGGCTGACCTCTTTTCTCTATTTTTAAATGCACCACCGATGAAAAGAGTAACTTGTTGGACTGTAAGTACTAAGTCTGTAAACTCGATCCTCAGTCACTTACTATATGCAGTGCTAGACACAGAGTTTAACAAGCATATACTTGTCCAAAGACCCCATGAATCAGCATCCCTAACAGGATGAAAACCCAACCTCTTAATTCTGGTTCTCTGCTCAGAAAAAATCAAATCTTAGTGGTTTTCTGCTGTGAGCCTGATCTTTCAGTATTTTACAAAGGCATGTTAATGCACAAACCACTACCCATCTGGCATTCTTATACATGACTCCAGTGTTTCCCAGTACAGAGTTTTGGCTATTGCCGTAAGTAGTATTTTACCTGATGTTACCAAATGAGTAGTGAAAGATGAAGAAAAGTAGTGATACCTCAAACTGTTCTCCTTATAAAGGTGTTGGGTAAAGCAGTGCAAAGGAGGAGATTGAATATAGCTTGGGATATATGGTCTTTGGCATTTTAGAAGGGAAAAAAATTGGTTTCTATCCTTGAGAGAGGCAGAGATAATTTAAAACAAGAAAGGGGAGTGAGCATAAATGCATGCATAGACTGCAGAGAGCCTGAAATGGTGCTGCAGACAATTTCATTCAACTGAAAGGCACTAGAATCTAAATAAACTTAAGCTTACACATTATTTTACTTTTTTGTAACCATCAATTCAGTACTTTTGCCATGAAAATCACTATTTTACTCCTCTGTGTACTTGACATCCTGCTTTCTGTCTCCATATCCAGCCTGGACTTTCCCCTGCACTCCCTTCCCGTTTGGGACTGAATTACTCAGCTGCTCCACCACTGAGTCTGGTGGTGGGAAGAATTGGATGGAAGCACCAAAGACGGGGACTGCCAGGCTGGGCTGCAGCTCAATCCCTGACACTAGCTACAAAACTCCCCCTCCTTGGCACATGCAGCAGGAAAGCCAGGCAGCCCAGACACTGGTCACTGCAGTCTGGGGCAGGCTGCATGCATTTACATAAAGAAAACGAAAACCAGGTATGAAATAGCACCAACTCTAAGTACTCAGCTACAGGTATTTTTAAGCAAGACAAGAGAAAATTACATAAAATTAACATTTGCTTTCGCTAGGAAACACCATCATAGGCAGCTAAATTCCTGAGCACAGAAAATTACAGTAAATATGTATTAGGAAGTGATATCAATAATTCGTGAAGTTCTACTATTAAAACCACATTTTTCTTGTAGGTGATGGTATATGGTCTGTGTCGGCTTTAGTGAAACTGCCCAGGTATACCACCACTGACCAAAATCACTCTCCGATTAGCTCAGGCTTAACTTTAAGGAAGCTGTTATCATGCACTTTAATTTTAGTGAATTATTCAAAGCCTGTGACGGAAAGCATGGCATCTTATTTACAAGAAAGTCCCACTGCTCCAGCAGCAATGCCTTGTAGCAGTAGGTCGCTGTGGAAACAAGCATGATTTCATGTAGACAGTAGTACTGCTGAGGTGGGGATGAAAGAGCAGGGTAGACAAACCTTTGTAAAATATCTTCTAGTCATGAAAATATTCTTTATTTTAAAAAAGAGGGATGAAGAAAGCAGAAAATAATTGACCAAGGTGAAACTGTATTTAAAGGGAATAATTTTTCTAAATTATCCACAAGGCCTCGTTGGTGTGTTAAAAGATTCCATGCAACTAAAGATGATCAGGCCAAAGGGACACGTACTAATAATTTCATTATCAACAACAATTTAAAGGGGAATTTCATGGCTCCTAGTTCTAAATCTTCCCTGTTGATTTTTAATAATAATTTTATAATGATTTCCTTTTTTTTTAATATTATTTTCCATAGTTTTTTAGTGTGAAGAACCCATGCAAATTACAGAGGAAATTGACGGCACAGGCAACGTAAAAGCAACATAAGCACAAAGCTGTCAAATGCACAGTATAGAAATGGAAATGTACAGCGATTTGGATTCAACTCTCAATTACACAAGATACCTCACGCTATTAAAAAACCCAACATCCTGGCACACACACTGGCAGGTGATGTGACTGAATTCCCCTTTTCCAGGGATGAAAGAAACCACTTTCAAATGGAGACAACGACATACTGTCCATCAATACAAGTGACACTTCTACATGAGCTCAGAAGGGCATGTGCTGGGCCATTGTTTGCTGCACCATCCACTTGCCAGCGCTGACGGTGAGTATTTCACCAGGGCATGTTCCACGCTGTGGGAAGGGAAGAGCACCAACCTCTGTTTAGCTTTGAAGGGTGCCACAGTGCTGCTCTGCTTTTGTTTCTCAACTCCCCTGTGACAGCCTGAGGGCTGCTTTCACACAGACCAGATGCCCGCAAGTGGTAGCTCCGTCTTTTCCTCTAAGCAAAGCTTTTGCCTAGTAGAACACGCAAGACCTCCCTCTCTGAAGATGCCAAAGGAGGCATTCATAGTGAAGCCTTCCTCTCAGAACACTTCAATCAATCCTTAGCTCCTCTCAGCAGTGCATTTTCATAGAACATTTGTTTTCTCCCTCTGTCCAATGAGATGAATTGGCCAAAGCGCTCTAAAGCTCCAAGTGGCAACACACAGAAAGACAGACAAAGTCCATGATAAAGTAACTTGGTCTTCTCTGGTCTCAAAGTGTCCTCCTAGGTTTTCTTGCATAGCCTCCATGTTTAGTATAAGAGCTTAGAATAATCTATACAGAAACCGTTTTCTTGACATTTAATCTAAATTAACTTTCGAGCTACCGTACCATCTCTAGTGCTATTCTTAAACACCCTCTAATTTCCACAAGACCTCTGCCCACAAAAAGCCCAAACAATTAATCCTTTTCATAACACTACAAGCTCACATTTGGGTCACTGTTGAGGCCACTCTCCATTTCAGCATTATACACAATCACAAGACCCGTGTTTTAGATTTTTTAAATGTGCAGTCATTTGTAATTTTCTCTTCTAAATCTTTCTGTAAGTATTTCTGATTCTGGCAGACGGTGTAACATCAAGATAAACTGGACAAACAGTATGCATTCATTTAGTTCTTGCTCTTTTACTGCCATTTACAAAATAACTCTAGTTGTGTTCCCAAAAACAGAACTTTAGAAAGCTAGCCAAAAAAGGTTAGAAGGCATGACAGTTTTGAAATCCTTACTTTAAAGCACCACACGGATGTTTTTAATGTATATAGTCAAATGCTTTAACATTTTTTTACTAAATATTGCAGAAGGGGGTTAAAAAAGAAAACACAAAAACTACACAAAAAAGAAAACATCTTAGTTTTCTTAAATCAGGACATCTCCAGGCAACTGATGTATGCATTGCACAAATCCAAGCTGGGCAGAGGCACTACCTGAACGGTCATGTATTTTTCTTATAAAGCTGATGCCATGTGATTGTTCCTAAGAATGCAGACTATGCACCCATTGCAATGGTGCTGTCTGTTTTTTCTTAAACCACCAACTCAGAGAGTAGCTTTACAAAATGCATGTATGAACACTAGACTTAAAAGTACCTTTAAACTGCTAGCACCTCTTTTTTTCCTCTTTTCCAAAAGATTTTAAAAAATATTCTAATATCCATCCATGAGGTAAACTAGAAATGTGATACATTCACAGTAAGTTCTTTAAAGGTTTCATATACATGAAACTATTGCTGTGAAAAAGAACAATCTTCCTGTCTGCAGGATAGTATTAACTTCTGTAGTGCTATGCTGACCATTTTTCTAGAAGAGACTTCCAAAAATGGCTTTATTAGAGAAAGTGCCATTCCCATGCTTAAAGCCGTTTCGATAAAAAGCCTTCTGGTAACACTGAGCTATAACAAATGGTGGTAAACTTTAAGAATGCTTTATTCAGAGCCATTTTGCCCCCAAGACTACAGTAAGCACTTTATTAACTTCAAGAATGACATGATTACTTCAAGTCCCTGAAACTTCAGTCAGCTTACTGCAGTTATCAGTTCACTGAAGAGGATGACTAATGACAGAAATATGAATTGAACTGTTCAATCAAGATCTATTCTTCCAATAAAAAAAATAACCGCAGGTGAAATAAAGTTTGGTCTACAGAGCAAGTGTAATGAAATTCTTGCTATCAAATTCAAAGTACGGACTATAAATTCTCATCTGAAACACATCAGCTGAGGTGAGGCATTGCATCCACGGTCAAAGACAGGTGCTGGAGTGCAACAGAGGAGCATGCCGAGCGCTCGCTCTGCACCAGGCACACAGTACCTCGTGCTGTACCGTGATCTGCAGGATGATGGAAAGCCTATTTACACTACATATTGATGATGGAAAGAGTATTTGTTACCTATTCTAAGCACTTAACTGTGGCTGTGATCAGTCAGCTTATGACAGCACTACTTAAAGCAGGCTGTGCTAGAACAGGTATAAACATAATTCATCAGACAGATGTTGCCAAAAATAATTTGGGGTCAAGTTTTGTGGGTTTGGTTTTTTTTTTAAGCTAATTTTTCTGTCAGATCAGTTCAATCCAGACCATCCTGCAGCCGAAGAAAGAAGCACCAGAACATTAACCAACAACTGCCCAAGACTGCACTGCTGTGGGAAACTGGTTTGCCACACTGTCATCTGGTATCACTGTGGGATCAGACGGGAGCTGCACAGGGGTGTAAGTTAATGCAGAGACAGGTACCACCACCCAGCGTGTCCACTCTCATCCCTGCTTCAGGCAGGTGACTCCACAGTCCCCACTGAGCCTCCATGATGTCTGCTGGGCCTTTGCAGGGCCCAGCACCAAGCCCTCACAGTACTGCTCTTGGTGTGCCATCAAAACACATCAGCTACCATTCAGGTTTTCAGTGTTAAGAGATTCTGCAATGCAACTATAAACCTGTAGATCTACAGTGCTGAGGAACCTATATTCAAGTCCTTAA